AGGAATCTTGCAGTGACTCATGAGGGATGCAGAGTTGATAGTTAACAAAGAGTCTTTGACTCCTTTCATCTGCAGCAGCTTTGTCAACAAACCATCTCCCTGTGAACATCAAATGAACTTAACGAATCTCTCTGTGAACATACCATAGAAAGGAACTAAACAAATTTAGTGACAAGTAATTTTTTAAAGTAAAGGAAGATATTCAAACATACATTCTTCTCCCAGAATAAAGAAAATTTGATATTTTTAACAAAATAAATTTTATGCGTACCTGTATTTAAAAGTCTTAATTCTAATTTTAGATGAAAGCTTTAAAAAAGCATTACAAGATTAAAATTTCATCCAACCATATAGAGGAGACACTATAATCAGATTACAATCAGATGAGACTGTGAAGATGGAGTGCACATCCTTACCAGATCTGATGGTAGGTACAAAAGGTACTTATTCATGCACTGCTGTTCGCTGATGATGGAGCCTCAACATCCTACACAGAAGAAGCTCTTCAAATGCTAGTTAATCGTCTATCACACGCTTGTAAAGAGTTTGGACTGACAATTAGTCTACAGAAAACAAATTTCATGATGCAAGAAGCACCGTCCCCTCCAATCATATCTATTGAGGGCCATAATCTGTCGGTTGTTGAGCATTTCACATAAATTGAATCCCATATTTCTAGTTCTCTCTCCATGGACAAAGAGCTGAACATCAGGATCGCAAAAACAGCAGCAACTATGGCTAAACTGAATAAGCGAGTGTGGAATTATCTCAATCTAACTGGTAGTTCAAAAAAACTAAGCTTCATTCAGGCATGTGTGCTCAGTACGCTCCTGTATGGCAGCAAAGTGTGGATCACATATTCCAGTCATGAGTGGCAACTCAACAGCTTCCATCAAAGATGTCTGCTTTGCATTCTACGCATTCGATGGCAGGACAAGGTGCTTAACACAGAGGTCTTGGAACGTGCACACATGTTTAGCATATTCTCTGCACTTAGCAAGAGGCACCTTGGCTGGTTAGGCCATGTGAGGAAATGGAGGAAGGCCGTATCGCAAAGATGCTGTTGTATAGAGAGATGGCAGAAGGGACAAGATGTATTGGATGACCACGGCTGTGATTTATAGATGTTTGCAAAAGGAGCATGAGGGAAGCCAACATAGAAATCAACGAATGTGAGATCATATCTGGGTTGCTTCCAGCTGGCAAACAGCAGTGTACAAAGGAGTAAAAAAGGCAGAAGATGTGCAAAACCTATAACCAGATGAGACTCTTTAACCAGATAGATGAGACACTATAACAAGACAGATGAGACCCTATAACAAGACAGATGAGACCCTATAACAAGACAGATGAGACCCTATAACAAGATAGATGAGACCCTATAACCAGATAGATGAGACCCTATAACCAGACAGATGAAACCCTATAACCAGATAGATGAGAAGAATAACCAGAAAGATGAGACCCTATAACCAGACAGATGAGACCCTACAACCAGATAGATGAGAACATATAACAAGACAGATGAGACCCTATAATCATACTCCATACCAAAACATAAAAAAGAATTGTAAATTTATTTACGTGAGTTATCTTTGTTGAAATTTTACCACTCGCAGATTCTGAGCTGGGATGTTTGGAGTGGGTCTTCTCCCCTAATTTAGCTCTTAAGTCCGAAACAAAGAGCTCAAACAAAGATGGCGGCCTTTCAACTACAAGGATTAAAAAAATAAAAATCTAAACAAAAGGGTTTCCAAGGAATTTGAAAAGAGTTTACATTTTGTCTCCTCCTTAACTCTTTCGCTGGGATACAGAGTGAGAGGTTCTTGGGTTCGTTAAAAAATTCTAAACCTATTATTGTTTGGTTAATAAGACTAAACTTGGTATCAAATAAAAGATAATTGAATGGACTATATGTTTGTAAACTTATTTAAACAGTTTAAATAAAATAAGTAACAGAACAGAAACTTAAATTGTGAAAAAATTTCATGCAAAACAATTTTTCCCAAAACCCTTTGGTGTACGCCTACATATTGCTATAACTCAACTCCTCTAAAACTACTACTATCTAAAACTACTACTATCTAAAACTACTACTATCAAAAACTACTACTATCTAAAACTACTCCTATCTAAAACTACTACTATCTAAAACTACTACTATCGGGATCATGTGATAGATCTAAATCTAAATCATCTTCACGATCAATTGAAATAGTATAAAATGTTTCTAAATCATTTTGAGCTGTTCATCGTCTAGGAAACGTAATCACCCTATTAGGGCCTCGGTAGCCATAGCAACAATATTGATGATGAGGAAAAAAAAACAGCAAAGAATCTCAATAAAATTATTCTTTAAAGGACAACAAATAAACAGCGACGAGGCCATGACAGCCAATTCAGGCTCATACCAGCAAGAAGCCAGTATAGGAGCTGCTCATTCCTGCCCAAGACAATCAGGGACTGGAACCATCTTTCAAAAGGAACAGTTGAGGCGACAACACTAGACACATTTGTGTCTAAAGGGACTGGAACCATCTTTCAAAAGGAACAGTTGAGGCGACAACACTAGACACATTTGTGTCTATTGCCTCAAGCCTTCAAACCCCTAGTGCATAATTTCCTCATCACCACCAGTAACAGAAACATTGCAAATCCCATCTACATGCATAGGAGCCAAAATGATCAATAAATTGATCGTGGGCCCTTAAGATATAGAAGAAGAAGGAACCTTGGTTTCGCTCAAACAATAAAGCACCACTCTTCTAGATAAAAGTATAAATTAAAAATTAGCTCTTTAAAAAGTTTAACAGAGAAATAGCAAAGAAGCAACCATGATATTGAAACAATGCTCAGCGCATTGGTCCATGGTTTTTAGCATGGCAGATGAATGTACTGTGTGTTGCGCCACAGCGAAAGAGTTAATTTTAAGTACATTCAAAGAATGAGCGGGTGTTGCAATAAAACAACCCCTAAAACATAGTTTTTCGTATGAATCCTTTATAAAATGTAATATCGAGCGACGACGGGGTGGGGCTGAAAATTTAACAAAACATGCATACAAGTAACACACATTATAAGAATCCCACCTAGTGCTCCCCCTACAAGGCTTGCAACTGCACAATTTTTCACGCCCCTGAACTATATTAATATTCTAATGACGGACCTGCTTTTACACTGCAGATTTATTTCACCAACTATTTCAATTTCAGGAACAAAATAAAATATTACACACAAAAAGCACTTGCAATTTTTTAAAGATCTCATTCAGTGCAGTTATTGGAAATTTTCCTTTATGTGAAGGTAAATGGATTTTTGGGAGTTAGGGGGTGGGGCTGAAAATTTGAAAGAATGTGTTGTCATCGGCAACGAGTCTCTGTGCCAAGTTTCAGCTCGACGGATTCGCAGGAAGTGGTTCAATTAGCTGTCTGAAGATTTTGCCACCCAGCCACCCACGAACAAAAGTGAAGTTAGTATAAAGGATTTAAAAAGATGTTAAAAATGAAAATGTTCCAGCAAAATAGGATGACTTCTTCATATATTAGACCTCCAGTCGACATGTTTAAAAGCCATTTCTACTTTCAAAAAGTTTAAAAAATTTATTCAAGAAGCTATTTTTACAGACACAGTTAATACACACAATTGACGAGTCAATTTCTAATTACAAGCCTTTTAAACAAACAACTGACCGGGCCTATGTATATTTATATAAAGTTAAAATCCACAACTGACCGGGCAATTTATAATTACAAACCGTATAAGCACACAACTGACCGCGCAAATTTCTACTTACAAACGCCCAGGCTTGTATCCTGGACCTCGCTTATCCTGCCCAGGTTTTCCAGCATCTCCATGGATTTCCCAGTCAATATAGCATCTGCCAGTATGGGCTGCAGAAGTTTTGGCCCATGAGAGACAATAAACTCAATAGAGTCACTTTGCTGAGAACTGATGCTTGCTGACGTGATGGTCTTGTTTGTAAGGGGAAACCTCGAGGTGTGAGCCACCTCCAGATTGGACGATTCTTTAGATGCGGCACTTGAGGTTATTCCAACCTCAGGCGTTGGGATGTGGTTGGAGACAAAAGCTTTCTCCCAGAATGTTTCATCTAATGATTTGATTTCTCTATTTCTGAAGAAGAAAGAGCATGCACTGATCAACGGTGCACTGATCAACCATGCACTGATCGCCCGTGCATTGATCAACCATGCACTGATCAAATGTGCACTGATCAACTGTGCACTGATCAACCGTGCTCTGATCAGCTGTGCACTGATCAACCGTGCACCGATCAGCTGTGCACTGATCAACCGTGCACTGATCAACCATGCACTGATCAACCGTGCACTGAGCAACCATTCACTGATCATATGTGTTAAAAAAGGAGTTTAAAAAAATCAGCTGTATACATGAAGTACAATACTCCCCCACTACATATTGTTCGCCAATACAAGAATTGCTTTTCCCCATTTAAGTGAAGGATTGGTATAAAACTTTAACTTCATGCTTCTCAAACCAACAGTTGCAAACTGAAACAAGTATTAAAGAAAGAACACTATGAAGCATCGGGTGTGCTGACGGGGGGTCCCACTTACCTCAGAATAATAGAGGGTCACATTTACCTCCCAATAATGGATGGTCACATTTACCTCTGAATAATAGAGGGTCCCATTTACCTCTTAATAATAGAGGGTAACATTTACCTCTTAATAATAATAGAGGGTCACATTTACCTCTGAATAATAGAGGGTCACATTTACCTCTCAATAATGGATGGTCACATTTACCTCTGAATAATAGAGGGTCACATTTACCTCTTAATAATAGAGGGTAACATTTACCTCTTAATAATAATAGAGGGTCGCATTTACCTCTGAATAATAGAGGGTCACATTTACCTCTGAATAATAGAGGGTCCCACTTACCTCTGAATAACAAACTCTTCTGCTGGATCAATCAGCTGTCCATTGCTGATCCACACACTGGTGATCTCAATGAGCGGCTGACTTGACTTTATCAACATTTCCAGGATCACATTTTTCTACAGATGAACAAACATAATAATATAGTGTGAATTTTTAAAAATTAATTTGATTTAAAAAAATCTTTATAATGGGAGTTAAATTAGGATTCAATTTTTAAAGGATGAGAATAATTGAAAAAAAAACCAAAAAAAACAGTACGTAGATGAAGGGAGACAAATTCTCAGCTCTTAAAATTGACCATAAAATATACTTAAATGTATAGTGTAAGTGTATGTAGAGAGGAATGTAAGAATTTCTTGGGTTTTTTAAAACTTGTGCAGATAACCAATCTATTTCTTATTTAAAATTTCTCTACCCCCCTGGATTAAATACAAACTTTTTTTTTAAAAAGTCTTGGTGTTTTGTTTTTTTTAAATTGTTTTTTTTCTTCTTTTTTTTTCTTTTTTAAAATAAAATTAATGTTATTGAATATAAACCAATGATTTTGCAGCTATTAAGATGATGGTATGACAGCCGACAAAATCCATAAAGCTGGATATCTATACATGAACACGTTTACCCTGCCCGTTTTATCCACCAGGGAAATGAGGTCGAGCTCAAAGAGAGCCTGGTACAGTATGTCCAGGAGGTGTGCCGCCTTGAAGCAGTTGCTGCTGCTTTGCCTGGCATCTTCACTGCTGACCGACGCCACTCCCGAGACATACACACTGTGGACTGTTTGAACCTTGTCAAACCAGGGCTGAAGCTTGGAGCTCAACATGGCCAGCGACATCAGCTCCTCTGCAAGTAGCATTTACATTTTTTTTTACAATTTTACTGAGAATCTTATTTCACTGAGAATCTTGTCTCACTGAGAATCTTATCTCACTGAGAATCTTATCTCACTCACTGAGAATCTTATCTCACTGAGAATCTTATTTCACTGAGGATCTTATTTCACTGAGAATCTTATTTCACTGAGAATCTTATTTCACTTTATGATAATCTTATTTCACTGAGGATCTTATTTCACTGAGCATCTTATCTCACTGAGAATCTTATTTCACTGAGAATATTTCACTTTATGAGAAACTTATTTCACTGAGGATCTTATTTCACTGAGTATCTTATCTCACTGAAAATCTTATTTTACTGAGGATCTTATTTCAATGGATCTTATTTCACTGAGGATCTTATTTCACTGAGACTCTATGTGACAATCTGTTAAGTTTCACAAGGGTATAGAAATTTCTATTTGTCATTATTCATTTAGTTATCAGGACCGTCTATAGATTATCAAGTGTAGGTAGAATTTCGAAGAAGATCTCAAAAACATTGCAAAAAGCAATAAAATAATTTGTTTAAAATTTTTTAAAAACACATCAGCACATAATGAAATTCATTATAAAATATATATAACAAAAGGTCGCGAATAAGTCTCTTCAAGTAGGATTTCTTTTTTTTAAAAATTATTATATTAATTTAAATGAAAAAATAACATTAAAAAGATAAATTTGTCTAAGCCAAGGAAAAAATACTAGAAGTAGAAGAGAAGCCAGCTGCAGGTATTTTGTTTTAACATTGACAGCTGCACAAACCCTGCTTCATGATAACTTTCTCCAACTCCAGGAGCTTGGCCCTGAAGTCTGAGAGAAATTGTGAAACGCAGGTGACAAAAGCTTGGTAGGTCTGCGGTATCCCAGACTGCCTCCCGCACTCGATGGCGCTGGTCACTTGGGAAATGACGTCTGTGACAAAGGTCTGCAGCGCGCACAGCTGGTTGGCTTTTCGCATGAGTGGTTTCAGTGAACTTTCGAGGCACTCCTGGAATATTTTTACAGTTCATAGATTACGAATAGAGCAATGTTTTTTGTTTTTTTTAAATAAAAGTAACAGATTTAATCATTCCAATAAATATAATTCATCCCATCTGGCTTAAGTACAGGCTACACAATATATTTCAATAATGATGAATTTTCTAACCCTTGAGATGAATGTTCTAACCCTTGAGATGAATGTTCTAACCCTTGAGATGAATGTTCTAACCCTTGAATGCATTTTTAAACATACCAAATATCTTCTATTGAACGAACTTGTGTACATTATGAAAAAAACCATTGAAAATAACATAATTATTCTAATATTACATCTCACAGTAAGTAAAAGATTGTCAAAAACTTTTTTTTTTTTTTGAAAAAGTCAATTTAAGCTTAGTCAGGTAGAATTCAATACTTGACGGCAGTAGCAGATCAAAGCTAAATCTATCATATAAAAATTTAACATGGAGTTGCACAAACATCAGAGTTTTAGATAGCTTCATTAAAAAATTGTTCACCCCCCCCCCCCCCAAAAAAAAAAAAAAA